AGTCAGGACCAGCGACCAATGTGCAGGCAAGGACCACCGTTTTGCGAAGCATATATAATTTAACAAAAGCTGTCATGTCCAGATCCAGGGTTCCGGTCATGGACAAACCCAAACCGAACTGTACTGTGTACAAGCATGTTGTTTATGTTAAAATTTCTGAAACGGGGTCGACCATGTTCTTTGACGTCATGCGACGATTTGCCCTCAAATATTCTTTGGCCCGAGCACTGCCAAGGTTCCGTATGCATTTTTATGGGGACGAAAACGTAGCTTTAATACCAAGACCTGCCAAAATTAAACAAAGATTTGTTCGAATTGATCGACCGCAGCAGAGATTTGACGTCATGTACCACCACATGGTTTTCGACGGTGACATCGTAAGCCGAGTTATGCCACGTGACACCTTCTACGTCACAATGTTGAGATACCCTTGGGCTCAATTCAAATCAGTTTTGAATAAGTACAACTTGCTGCAAAAATACGCCCCAGGAAATGACACAGCCATAGAACTTGAGCAATTTCTTGAAAATCCGTACAAATACTGGCGAAATGGTTCAGTCCGAACCTCTGCCTTTTCGCGCAACGGCATGATGATGGAGTTGGGGTTTCCAGACGAGACAGAAGACGTCCGGAATGACGATCTGGTTATCCAAGCTTACATCAAATACTTGGAGCAGAGGTTTGGGTTGGTTATGCTGGTTGAATTTCTAGACCAGAGTCTAATACTTCTCCGTCGCATGCTTTGTTGGGAAATGGAAGACATTCTCTATACACCCATGGAAGGCAATAACTACCCTTTTAAGGGAAACAAGGACCAAAAACTTATTTCAGCGCACCAGAAGTGGAGTAAAGCCGACTATGCCGTGTATAGACATTTCAAAGAGAAGCTGCTTGGTCTCATTAACAAACAACCTGCTGAGTTTCATGACGAAGTACTTCTTTTCAAACGAGCTCTTGAATATGTGAAGATATGTGGCAGCCCCAGCAACGTGAGAATCTTACGACGAAAAGGAAAACCGTATGCTTCCGATGATGTTATTAACTGCTCCAGTCAACCTGTTAGAAAAATTACTTAACACGACTATATCAGCATAATGTTCCAAGTGTATACAATTTAAAAACATTTGAAAGGAGGAGGGACTGCTTTTATAGAACTAGAATGTGCAATATGTCCATAAATGTATGTAGTAGGGCGCTAAAGAAACAAAGGATACCTGAGATTGTTAAATGTTTTTTACCCTCTCGTGTGGTTTGCGGGTGCTTCAGTATGGCATGGTTAAAAGTGATCGGCAAAGACCGTGTTACGCGCAGTTAGAGAATCCACAGTAGAAAATTAAATAATTTAAGTGTTTATAATGTTGTACGAACGTCTTTCTTAAAGTGCTCCAAGCCAGGATTTTGAACGCATTCTAAGAGCATGAATTGCTTCCTATTGAACTTACCCTCGAACGAAAAAAAAAAAAAAAAACCTTTTAAACATCATTAAATCGATATCTCAAAAATAATCACATTCACTGTCCCCTGTTTAAGCGTGGGTTTTGATCTTTTGCTTTTTCAAAAAAAAAAAATAAATAAATAAAAAATAAATAAATAAAAAATAAATAAATAAAAAAAAATAATAATAATAAAATAAATAAAAAATAAATGAATGAATAAAAATTTTTTTAAATAATAAAGGTTGGTATGTTGAACGAGTTGTTGGCAGGAAAATCCTGGCTTAGAAGGGTTTTACATTTGTCATACAACCGAAGAAAGCAATTTCAAGATGAACAAATACACAATAGTCATCGTTTATGGTATTGCACAAAAAGGCACAAAGACCTAGTATCCTTATATGATAAACACACACACACACAAAACCGTTTAATACACCAAACAACCTTGCCAGCATAAAATATATCTAGCAGCCTATTGTAAAAATTGTACTGAATCAGATACACTCACAGGCAATCATTTGTATCTAATTAACTCACATACGATGCATCTTTATTGAAATATATTTAATATTGTCCAAGTAATATAGTAAATACTCTTCATAACAATGTCCTCAATTTACATAAACCTATATGTAATTGCAACCCAACTCCAAGAATTAAGGTAAAAACAATTTTGGAAATAAATGCAGTACTAAAAATATGGAAAATCCTTACTGTGCAGACTCAGAGAAAATAAAATTAAATAACAAGCTTAAACGTAAGTCTTCATATGCAAATGGGGTTAAAGCTGCTTAAAAATATTAACAACAGAGAAATTGGCATTGCTCAAATGCCATGTTGGCTGTTTCCAATGTCCTGTTGGCTGTATACAGATTTCAATGCCATGTTGGCTGCACACAGTTTCCAATGTCCTGTTGGCTGCACACAGTTACCAATGTCCTGTTGGCTGCACACAGTTTCCAATGTCCTGTTGGCTGCACACAATTTCCAATGTCCTGTTGGCTGTTTCCAATGTCCTGTTGGCTGCACACATTTTCCAATGTCCTGTTGGCTGCACACAGTTTCCAATGCCCTGTTGGCTGTTTCCAATGTCCTGTTGGCTGCATACAGTTTCCAATGCCCTGTTGGCTGTACACAGTTTCAAATGTCCTGTTGGCTGCACAGTTTCCAATGCCCTGTTGGCTGCACAGTTTCTTCAGTTATGCTTTAGTTATGCTAAAGTGCACAAGCGGTTGCCAAACCCCTCAATAGGGGGCAGGGTGGGGCCGAAGGAAGCCAGGCATACAAAAGGTGGTTCTTACTCTTTTTGAACTACGCTAAACCTTTACACATCATATTTTAATGTGTTAATTTCCACTGTTCTAACCACAAAAGAATCCTTTCAATATTTTCTTCCATATCTCCAGGTGTGTTACTTGGAAGTTCATGAACTATTTCTATTTTATAGGCCTCCCTGGCTTCATCTAAAATTGTCTGAAATATTTCACACTGTACATTTTCCTGCAACTTTTTCCCAGTGTATCCCCTGAAAAAAGTAGCAAGTAATTTTTTAATAAAAAATACAGACAACACTAGATGACAACCAAACAAAATAAAAAACAAACTCCAGGTTTACATATTCTACAAATTAATAATAATAACAATAATAATAATAATAATAATTCCTAGAATTACCTTCACAAATTAAAAACAGGAACTATTTAATAAAACAAAAGATAATTACCAGAATAAATATGTCTTGAAATAATTGTGATAAACATCCTAAAACAGTTTCTACAAACACCAATGGCCTGGTACCTACCTGTGCTCCAGTCTCTCATACAGGACTGAGTTATCAGTTCTCAGTACAAACACCAATTGTCAGATACCTACCTGTGCTCTAGTCTCTCATACAGGACAGAGTTATCAGTTCTCAATACAAACACCAATTGTCAGGTACCTACCTGTGCTCTAGTCTCTCATACAGGACAGAGTTATCTGTCCTCAGTACAAAGACAATATCAAACCAGCGCTCTGGGAAGAAATCACAGCCATGATAGTCAACAACATTTCCACCCTGCTGCATCTGATCTTCAAGTTCATCCACAACCTGGTAGGAAAAGATAGATCTCTAATTAGCAGTCAACAATGGATGCCGTGATCTAGGACAACCTGATAGACTGTCTGCACTATGTAACACCACGAGAGACAAGACAATCTGTGAGAATTTGTGTGGTAGGGTTAACTTTATAGTGAAATGCTGTGTACTGCAAGTGTCATCTTAGAAAGTAATATAAAAGTGATTCTCAAAATATGAAGAATTTGTTAAGTTGTACAACAGTTTCATTCCACAGAACTAATAAGAAACAACCAGTATATGTGGCTAAATTCTATCAGTTTTCTTCATTGCCTTATATAGTCTGACCCTGTAAATCCTGCAAACTCTTGCATGGTTTGACACTAAGTCATTCCAATTGGACTATGTTTTTATAGACGCATTCTGAACATGTAAATTACATACTTGAATATATATCTCCACATGACATTGTCACAGGAGACAACTGAATCCTTACCCTGTCCTCATTCAGGACATGACACTCGTATTCGTCATCCCAGCCGTCATAGAGCTCCCTCTCTTTAGCCATCTCCCCAATGTTAACATAGTTTAGGCAAGCTCTCTGAGCTAACTCTCTTCCTAGAGTGGACTTGCCTGTCCCTGGGGTGCCTGAGGTAATGTGAAAATGTGCTATTATTTTCAGAAACAAAGACACAACCTCGCTGTTTGATTATGCTGTTGCACATAGTGGTTCAATGTTTGTTACAGAGTTATATAGTGTACATGTAGCTTGTAAGACAACAATGTGTAGTACAAAATTGAACACGTACATGTACGTGTGTTCTAAGACAGTCATAGCTGATAACGTCGCGTTCTTTCTGAGAGTATCCTTGCCTCAGTCTACTAGCTAGGCAATCACCAGGCAAGCATGTAATGTAAGCGGAGCATGTAAAGCCGAAAACTGAGTTAAAAACATGGAGTTTGAAAGAGTTTATATAGAGTATGCAGTGCGTAGGTCAAGTCCTTTCTTTTCTAATTTCTGCGTTTTTAGAAAACGATATACACTTTACAAATGGTCGCACATGGCTCTTATGTGTTCTCCATTGATTACAACAAATAAAGAGTTTTTCTCATCAAATAAATGTGGCCGAAACATACCTGTAAGCAAAACGTTTGGGCCATGTGGACTCGCCATTTTCACTTCCTGTCACGCAGGCGCACTACAAGCCAGGTCAAAGGGCATCCGCGTGTGCCATGTCTGCAACAACAGTGAGGCGGCGCAAGGTACAGCAGCAAGATGAAGGCGACCAGGGTGACACGACAGACAGCGTCCAGGAAAGTTGCAACGTGAAAAAAGAGTTATCAGATATGAAAATAACACTTCAGCTTGAAGCTGGAAGTTATTGGCTGACTCGCATCTTCTTCTTGAGATTCCTGGGCTTTATTTATGGTAAGTCAAAGACACCGACAGGTGCGTGGTACTTTAATTAGTCTGATTAATTTCTCCTAAAGAGGTTGGTGTCGTAATTTATTTGTATTTGCACATGCCTTTGTATGACTTCATAGCCTATATTTCACCGACTACTGAAGCTTTCTTCATCTACATTACCTTACTAGTACAATACTAAGCAACAATTTTATTATGACAGATTAATATTTAATAATTGACTTGATTTAGATTAAATCCAGACTTATTTTGTGTTCTGACTTTTTTATTCTCTGTGTTTTGGCGGAAATATGTCACCATAATTATCAGTGTTATGCACAAGTCATATCAGCCTTATTTTTAAAAAATTCTACTGGTACTTACCAATAAATTAATTTATATATTTATATACTTATTAGCTGTGGCTTTTTTGGTCGGATACCATCAAAACATTCAACTAATTGGCCACAAAGGACTTCTTCCTGCAACAAACCACCTGAAGAAGATATGGTCTCACACAGGAGGATCTCTCTCCCAGTCTCTGAACTATGCTCCCACTCTGCTGTGGTTTGTGAACTATGAAGATCACCTGGACTGGTGTCTGACTGCCATAGCCCTGTGTGGACTGATGTTATCTCTTCTGTTGGTTGTACTGGGCTCTGCCAACATACTGGTGATGTCTGTACTCTGGGTGCTCTACCACTCCCTGGTCAATGTGGGCCAGAGATGGTCAGTATACATGATAACACTGGGGTGGGGGGTGGGGGTGGGGGGTACAGGGGGTTCTCTATCATTCCCTGGTCAATGTAGGCCAGAGATGGTCAGTATAAACAACACTGAGGGTGATATAGGGGGTTCTCTATCTCTGACAGTTCATTCTGATTTCTTACCATTGCTGAAGAGTTGAAGAAGTTATGCCAGTAAATAGATTAACTTATTGTTTGTTGTGATCTTGCATAACAGTGTGAGAAGTCACGAAAGAAATGAAATGATAGAAATACATGTTTAGGAAAACCTGAAGAAGTTAAATTATGAAGTTAAATCATTGTCTGAACATTATTTTGGAGTTGAGAGTCTAACTAAGATATTTCCTCCTCTTTTCTCTTCAGGTATTCCTTTGGTAAGTGAAGCAAGTAAATTAAGCTTTTAATAAAAGCAGATATCAGATAAAGACCAAGTTATCACATATGTACGTTTTCCTCAATGTTAATGGTTGTAATGTGAATTATATTTTCTAAAAGTAAATTATCTAGTTTTGTTGCAGTATGAAAAAAAGTCAAAAACCTATTTGGAAAGATTTTTGAGTGAATATTTTCAAAATTTCATTTATTAAACTGTAAATCAGTTGTCATTTTGCCAATATTACTTGATGAAATTTTCAGGATGGGAATCTCAGCTCCTGGAGAGCGGGTTCCTGGCAATATTTTTCTCTCCTCTTCTCTCCTTGCGTCCTGTGCCCAAAAGAACTCCGCCATCTTGGGCTGTCATCTGGGGCTACAGGTGGCTCATCTTCAGGATAATGCTTGGGGCAGTAAGTTACATGTAGAGATAGTACACCGTTTCCTGAGCGATGTATGCCGGAATACCTCAGGTGTCTGTAAGAGATATTCCAGTCATATTTCTCAAAAGGGTGGCAGCGTATTATTTGACGTACATACTCGCAATTCACTGAAAAAAACCCCAAAAAACAAAAGAAAAAAAAGTGTTTGTCGATGTAGTCACATAACATCTCTTGGTATTTAAGCCCCCTTTACACTGGCCGGCGTCCTTTCTGCGTCCAGCAGTACGGCCCCATTTGAGAGTTAAAAAATTATAATACTTTACGTGCCGACAACTGGCTGATCATTGAGCATTCATTCTGATACAAAATCGATGCTCGTGTCTCCTTATTAAGACCACAGTGATGCCAAATTTCATGGTCGCAGAAAGGACGCAGATAGGACGCCGTCCAGTGTAAAAGGGGTATTATGTTAGTACCTCTGTTTAGGGAAAAAAGCCTAATTGTTTTCAGAGTTAAAGTTTTTTCAAAGATACTATCAAATATGTTTTTGTAATTTAAAGAATTTTAAAATATTTATTGAATATTTGCAAAAAAAGAATTTGCATATTTTCTTCCTGTTTCAGGGTCTTATCAAAATCCGAGGAGACCAGTGTTGGAGAGATTTGACTTGTATGAATTATCACTATGAGGTAATGGACATGTTATATCAGTGAAATAATGAAGTTGCGTGAAGTTAAAAATATTGTTGTAATAGTTTCATTGGAGCTGGCTCATATAAAGATAATGTAATTATGTATTAGGCAGAAGTTCTGTGCATTACTTGTAATTGTTGATATAACACCTTTAAGTTTGTTCTAAGCTAGCCACACAAACCCCCCCTCCCACACATATACCCAATAAAACTTGCAATATTTTTATGTTTTAATTTATTTATATTCCTATTGCAGACACAACCAGTGCCTAATCCAATCAGCTATTACTTGCATCAATCTCCAGAAGTATTTCATAAGTTTGAGACTCTGTCCAATCACTTCATAGAACTGGTGGCTCCACCTCTTGTTTTGTTGCCTGGCAACTATTGGCTGTTCAGAAGGTTGCGTATAATTGGAGGATTTTTGCAAGTATTATTTCAGGTATCATTCATAGTTGTGATAGAAGTGCTTTGAAATTTCAATTTTTCAATGAATTGCCCAGCACATTTTAATTTGCTTGTTATTGGGAAGTTCAATTTAGGATCGAATAATGTATGTTCAAGATCACTAGCACCAATCATGTACCACTTTTAACAAAATTATTTACAAAGTTTCTTTTAACTTTGACCTCTGTTTTAATTTGATGCAAATGTCATTGTAGGTGATCCTAATCATCAGTGGCAACTTAAGCTTCTTGAACTGGCTGACTATACTTCCCAGCATCTGCTGTTTTGATGATGCTAGCTTGGCGTGGATGTTTTCTAATAAAAGGAATTCTGTGAAGTGGCAAGTGTGGCAGATACAACAGGAAGAGAAAACTGGAAACAAACCAAGGGAATCGAGAAGTACGATGGGGTCTTAGATGAGAAATTAAACTAATTTCCTAAACAATGAAATATTGACAGAATAAATTCAGCAAAACAGTCTTTTTTCTTTCCATTTTATGATATTTCTTTAGGTACAGATGTTTGCCAAATGTTCAAACTGTTTTTATGTACAGACACAGATGTGTCTNGTGATAATTATGCAGGTAAATTTTGTTTAATATTGCAAATAAGTTTTATATATATATATATATATATCAAACTGGAAGATTAAAAGTTTGAATAGCAGCTTCATTGGAATTATATTTACCTCAAGCTCTGCCAAGGAGGTTATATTTAACACAAAAAGTTGTGGACTGATTTTGCAGAAATTTTCAGGAACTGTCGGAAGTGGGCCAAAGAGGACATCTGCCTGGGGCTCTGCACATTTTCTGTATTTCTACATAAGCAGTTGTATTGTTTTTTATGTCTTTAAACATTATGTAATATTATTTTATGCACTGTCATCATTTTTCAAATATTGAGACTTTCATAATGTGAATTTGAACTCTCATGGTCCTGAAACTGTAATCTTATTGATGGGGTGGATTGAGACCATCTTCTGGGTCTTCCTGAAGACAGTCAGGTTATTAAGTTTATATTGACTGGTATCTATTTTTTTCTGTTGGAAGACCATCAAAATGGAGGATGGATCAACATAGATACTTTGTAATATTGTCAGAAAATATCTCTGGGTCCGCTCCTGTTATTGACCATGTTACCTGTTGTGCAAGATTAAAATTCAGTGTTGACTGACAGTGCTATTATAAGCATTATTTATTATTGCATCAAAATTGACAAAATGACCTTTTTTGCATCTTTATTTTCTGTTTTTTGTCTGTACATTTGACAGCTTTGCTGCCTTGTTAAAACTTACATGTACATATGTGTGTATAATGTTTTCAGCCCAGTACATCAGGAAAGTGATGAATGTAACGCTGGCAATACTTCTGGCCTATCTCAGCATTCCTGTGGTCCAGAATCTTCTCTCGTCAAGACAAGCCATGAATACTTCATTTGAACCTTTGAGAATACTGAACACCTATGGTGCATTTGGAAGGTATGGTTATCTGGACAAAAAAAAAAAAGAATTATCATGTTTTTTTTGTAGCAAACTATTTTAAGTGAAATGCAGGTATGTTTCTGTAGTCATTTAATGACGCGGTTGTATAAAAGTTCAAAACTTATTAAGAAAATAATTTTGCAAATTGGTTCAGCAGTGAAAAGAGCAATCATTCAAAAGTGATTCTAATGCATATAAATCTACTTTTCTTTCTGTAGCATAACCAAAGACAGGACAGAGGTGATCATCCAGGGTACATATGATAACCCACAAGATCCAAGCGCTAAGTGGCTGGAGTATGAGTTCAAGTGTAAACCAGGTGATGTATACAGGAGGCCATGTTTGATATCTCCATATCACTACAGACTGGACTGGCTTATGTGGTTTGCAGCTTTCCAGGTTAGTTTATATCTCATTGTCAGTGAAATTCCTCAGGGTTTTGTTTACTTTTCAAGTATTTTAGAACTCTGAACCTTATTTTATCAATACATTTACCTACTTACTCTGGAAATTTTGTGATTTATACTGTTTGTTTATTTTACCATATTGTCAGTGAAATATCTCGTTTTATTTACTTTTCTCACTTTTTAAACTCTGCATCCCATTTAGCATTTGTAAATATATACATTTAATTTCTTATTTCTAATAAAAATGTTTTTGTTTCAATCTTTAGTTTATGCCACAGGTTTCATTTAGTTTTCTCTTATTTATAACTCTGAATCTCATTTAACTTTTGAAAATAAATACCGCTTATCTTTAATAAAGTGTTATAACTTTGTAAATGTTTGTGTTTTAATCTGTTTCTCCTCCTTTCAGAACTACCAACATAACCCATGGTTAGTACACTTGGCAGCCCAGCTTCTGGTGAATGATGAGGGAGCTTCCTCACTTATTGCACACAATCCCTTTCTGGGTAAAGCGCCACCAAAGTAAGCATCGTTTTATTTAAGTGGGTGAACTTGGAATATCAAGCATTTGAAAGAAAACATTACCTAAGTTATTCATAACCATATAAATAGTACTTGTGCAGTGGCCATTAACATCAACTAAGAATGAATTTTTAGGCCCCATTCAGAATAGGGGACTACCTAGTTCGAGGATCAAATATGGCGACCCACTAAAAGCTTGCCGTTTAATCCACTAATAGACACTGAATAGATATCCTATGGGGAAGTATGCAAGTGGGTTGGCCATATTTGACCCTTGGACTAGTTAATGCCCTTTTCTGAATGGGGCCTTGGTCTCCATGTTGGTCGATAAGGATGCTGATCACTTTTATTTTCAGGTTTATTCGTGCAGAACACTACAGGTACAGGTACACAAAACTAGGCAGCAAGGATGCGCTAAGCGGAGCATGGTGGAAGAGGAAACGTTTTGGCAACTATTTGCCACCCGTGTCTTTGGCAGCACTTAAAGAATTTTTGACAGCTATGGATTGGCCCATCCCACTTTTGAAAGCCTGATCCTAACAAGGAGTTGATCCTTACAGATGTAGAGCCTAGTAATATTTATTTTGAAGATATCACAAAAAAGAAATAGGCCACACATGAACCTTTTTTCAAGGGGTGTTATTTTTCTCTTTTATTCTATAGTTTATTTTTGTTATCTGATGACTTTTTACCGTTACTATATTGTCAGCTTTAAAAGCTAAGGTTTAATTGAAAGATTACCATTTATTTAATACCAGTATATTATTTTGAAACTGGCACCAATCTTTCCATCAGTGTTATCCTAGTAATTATACAGTTTACATGTGTCTTTTCAACCATATAATGTACATGGTACATTGTCTCTATTTAAGATATAGCCGTGAAACATAAGCCGGTTTTTATCATTTCAAACATCTGTTGATTGCTAAGATCTAATAAACGGATGGTATATTACTAATTAGATCTTAGATTGTAGTGAAACAAAGTCTTCTTGGGTAGGTGTAATGAAAATATTGTTTTAAATGTATTTATCTGTTATTTTTACATTGTTTTTGTTGTAATTTTCAATGTGTATGGAGATACCCTGCAATAAAAGTCCCTTTTCTTTGTTTTTACTCCAAGATGAACAACTTGACCACATTCTATGAGCACATTTACCACACACCCTATTTAACGGATTAAATCTGGGCTCCAAGGTTTAATTGCTAGGCCCCTGCAGTGACAGTGCATGTAGAGGAGAGGAGAACATCCAGTAATTAGCAGCATCACTTTTTAAGTGGGATCAGCTACATTTAGTCTGGGGATCACTTACACCCCATTTCCATAGATTAGATCGACCTACTTTAGATCGACCTAACTCCCTGGGGGTTCACGCTAAATAGTTGTCAGCCGGGCGGACACGAAAGTTAATTACCCCCTAAAGCTTGTAGTAGGTGGGACGAACATTTATGTCGGATTATCTGAAAGTAATCTAGTGAGACTCCCCGCGGGGATAGATCGATCTAAAATCTATGGGAATAGAGCCTAAGTCAGCAGTTCATCTGTTCTGAATGTGCTCTCTGATTCCTTCATGCAGTTTATGACTAGTTGGTAAGTAATCATGAAGTGGGTTGCATTATTTCTGCATTGAAACAGCACCAAATGGGTACAAATAACCTTACATGAATTTTTCTTATCATATAACAAATATCATCCATGAGATTTATTAATGATGAAAACAAAGTCTTCTCAGTCTCAAAATATATTATTCCAAATGAGCATTATGTAATGGATATGTTTCCACTGTCTATATCTGGCATACAAAAAACTGGTGAAGACATCTGCAGATAAAAACAAGTTTACTGTCTAAAGAGTGAAGCTGTCTGTCTCTAGTTCAAATTATACAGCTGCACTGACAATTAATCAGGATAATCTGGTTCATCCCCGCTGTCATCTGATATCGAAGGAACCTCGGTGTCTCTGCTGTCATCATATCTAAAGATGGGTTAAGGAATAATTTCAGCACAATGAAATGACGATAAAACATTTCAACTTTTTTCCTCTTAACTACAGAGTTTGCATCCACCCCACCCCCCCCCACCCAAAAAATTTTTTTTTTTTAATCTGCGTGAAATAATTACATTAATCTGATTCAAAACATCTGACATAACTGATGGAATCATAAGTATTCCAAGGATACACCACAGTAGACCCCTCTGGGAGATGAGGCTCCATTTTGATGTTCAACCTTTGTGAAAGTCTTGCTGCTATATGCTGAGCCTGGATTTCCTGTTAAAAAGATAATATAAGGTCAAAAATGCCACTTACAGAGTCCACACACACACACACATTGTCCAAATACATGCACTATCACTATTGATATCTGACACTTAAAATAAATGAAAAAATCCTACCATCAAAAATGATATCTAACACTTCAGTACAAAGACAAATCCTGCTGCTCTTTTTGTTCAACATAACAAGGTTTAAAACAGCATTGGTGTGTCCAAACATTTTAAAAGTAAATTTCATGTTCCTCGTACCTGTATTCTTTTATTTTGTTCTTCTTGCAATTTACATGAATCTTCCACTGACAGCATTTTAGCACATTCATATTTAGCCTTGGGAGGAAACAATGCAGATTCTTCCTCTACTGAATATCTTTTTCCTTTATTTTTAATAGTCCTGTCTATTTTAGTGTCTCCTGTTAAATCCATTTTTTCAGCACTCCTCATTGCATCCATTTTCTTGTCTTTCCTCCTAGTGGTGTCCCTGTCAGTAATTGAGGTTCTGTCTAGACTGCCGTGCATCGTGTCTTTATTTTCTCTGCTTTTGTCAAAGTCACAAATATTACCCGCAGAAACATCGTCAGTGTCCATAGATATATCACAGGTTTGGAATCCATCTACTTTTGGTGCCAACCTGTAATTAGATAAAGAAGAAAAGATGGGGCCACTTCAACTTATAAAACATCTAATATTAACATGGCTTCCTAAAATCAGACATGAATACTGTGAACTCAGTACAAGGTAAATTAAAAGGTTATATGCATTTCTATTATAAAAATATAATTATGTAGACATTATAGCTAAAAACAACGCAATTCTAGTAAATTACCTATGGTACAAAAAACTGTATATATTTTCATTAAAAGTAGTTCCTTACCTGTCATCTGTTTCTTCCTTTCTCTTGTCCGATTTATTTATTATTTTTCTGTAAAATGACACTTGATCCTCGTCATCTGATTCCAACTGCATCTTCTGAAACAGCGATGATGTGGCATCCACTTTCTCTTTTTCTTCAATTGCTCTTCTCAGTCTGTCAGCCAAGTCTGAAATCTTCTTACCTTTGTCAGGAAGTGATGATATAAACTTCCTGTGGAAAGTCACAGAAAAGTTGACAAGACATGGAATTAGGAAAAGCAACTGACAATACACTTAATTAAAATAAATGCTGTTGACATATACAGTTACAAGTATGAAAAGTGAAAAAAAATCCCATGCCATACACTCTCCATTAAAACTGCAAAAATAATTTAAACTTCAAATAATGATTTTAAAAAACTGAAATTAACAAATTAATTAATACATGTGATATGAACGGGAGAATATTTCAATCCCTGACAGTAAGACATTTTAAACAATACTAGTACCTGCCACTGTGTTATTAAATATGGAGTCATTGCAGTAATGGTAACCCCAGAACACCTACCACTTCAATAAAACTCACTTGTTTTGTAAGATTTTGTTTTGTCTGTCCAGTAATTCCTTCAGCTGAGCCATTGGTTTTTGCATCAGGTCTCCTAAATAACCTTGTTTTTCAACATTTCCATCAGCCATTTCTAAAGCCTAAATAGCAACAGCTTTTGTGATTCACGTCGTGAAAGCTGTCAATGAAAAATGAGATTTTTGTTTTAAATTATCTAAAATCATCTATAGCCGACGTGGAAAAACATCAGAAGCCAACACAATCACTTTAACTTTGTAAATGTTACAACTTCAGTTTCAAGTTAAATTGCCTGAGTCTAAAATAAAAGGAAAAAAAAACACTCAGCGACAGTTTGCACTGTTGTCATTTTTCACACATTGGGCTCTTAAATTTAAGCCCTGTCGACTAAATGAAAACATGAAACAGCCATAAATGAAAATTTCTCGACATACCAACTAAATCAGCACCTGATTTGCTGTAGAACAGACCGCTAGGTAAGTTGTTCTTTATAGCATTCGTAAAACTGTCTACTTCAGCAGGATGCGAGTAATTTTACAACTAAACCGGAAGTTGCTAACCGGAAGTTTATTGTCCAAGACAAACTGCTCAAGCTTAGAAAAAAATCCCCATGCTAAATAATAATCAATTTTGTTGAACGAATCAACCAAGGCAAAACATGTTGCCGTTCCTATAATAATGAATCAAGAAACACAATTAGTTAGAATGAACATGCAACTCTGTCATATCTTGAACAAATCGAAAGTGAAAGAAACTGCTATGGAGCGTACTCAGAACTGCATTTTGACGTGACGAAACGTTGGGAATTATGACTATGCAATATTGATATCATATCCCTTTATTTATGCCCATTAATGGCAGCTCTAAAAGAGGGAACTTTTCAAAGAAGGAGAATAATAGCAGAGTGCAATATCACACTAGTGAAAAAAATAACTCATTGTAATGAACCTTTTCATATATATATGGGATGAATGTCCTAAACTTACATAATTTTGAACGCTCAATTCAAGTGTGGGCTCGAAATAGGAAATTACCTTTTAGACTAACTTAGTGGATAACGCAATCCAAAGATTCCACGGTTCATGTCAGATTTATGTAAGGTCGCGCAAAGAAAACCCAAGTCCACATAATGACCAGTTAAATTATTTATTCGTTGACGCTTGATAGCTACATATTCTAAATGAAGTCTCCAGCGCTTAACTCGTCAGCTCCGTACTCGTTGCTTCCAATCTCCTCCTTCGCTGCTTCCTTCTACATGTCTCCTCTTTCTATTTCTAGGTATCGCTTATATACTTATTTCTTAACTACATGTATGGTCGATGATGCAAACTTTAACTACCTATAATTGTATAATTAATTTCTTTACCTCGGCGTTATACACAGAGACCGCCACATTACTCAAGAGCTATTAGACTACAAGACATTACTTCATAAGACTTCAAAAGATATGTATATCGGCCACGACATCATTTCAAACATTTCCAAACAACATTTTGTAACAAATATTTTTTATTGTCCTTGCTCAATCTTCATAAAATGAGTATATATCTTTAGCTTACATCATTAAAATCATAATTTTTGGTATTTGTTTATTCTTATTTGTTCAATGAATTTCTGTTAATTTTCACCTTATTTAACAAAACAGGTCATGTAACACAATCTTCTCTAAATAATGGTAATGTTGTGATCGGAATTTTTTCCTTCCTCCACCTGGTCTGCTCTTCATGTGCCAAGATAGGCCACCACAGGTGAGCGAGTTAGGCCAGGTGGAGACAGCACGCCCCCTGCAAGCGATCGTCAGTATTGTGACATCATACCTGTCACACATCCATTGTCTCAGATCTCCCACTCCGAATCGGAAGTGCTACAATCAACGATCTCTACAATATTCTCACCGAGCCAAACAATAGCCAGTGATCACTCTCCAATTCAGTAAGTAGACAGTGAATACTTTAGTAAGGTGTCATATATTAAGTGTGATCTATAATACACGATGCTAAAATGTTACTTGCAAAATTTCATTAACACGTTATATGTAGACGTGTCCCAAACAATGGGCGACTTCCAGCTTGACTGCTGTTCCTTCTATCAAACCTACAAACAGAACTACTTCTTAAAACTAACAGATCTCAACAGTTTTATTTTGAGAAGTGTTAAAATTATGTGTAACACACCTGTACGTTATACGCAAGTTATTCAGTGTTGTGATATTACAGAACTAATGAAACGATTTATTTAGAAAAATTAATGGAATATACATCAGACAGCTTGCTCAATTTTGAGTTAAAATATACATAAGACAAAAACAATTGTATACATTAAGTGTCTTATAAGCCCAAAGGCTTTTCTTCTTGTAACACATTACAATATATTGAATAAATGAATGAATGAACCAGATGAAGGATACTAAAGGGCAAATATAATTTATTGATCACAATAAAAGGATTTATGTGATATGAGATTATCAATGTTATGTAAGCTTCCAAGGAACTTGGCTCTTATAAATTAAACTCCAGATGTTTCTTCCCTAATTTCAGTCAGGTTGTCTCCTCTTTGTTTTTTTACACTTAGACTTAATTACTTCCAAGCAGCACTGGTGAGACACATATGATGGAAGGCACAGTGCTTCAGCCCTGAGGCAACACCAAACCAAGTTACCCACACAAGAAACCGAATCAATCAAAGCAGTGGATCAGAAAAACTGAAGTAAATGAGAGCAGTGATGAATCTGATGACTCAGATTATATTTTAAAATATATACACAGTGTGAATGATGGACAGACAAATGAATCAATTGAAATCGATATAGCAGGCATCAGGTGCAAATGCGAAGCAGAGAGCGGAGCAGCTACGAATGTCATAGACAGGTACCAGTTCACAGCCCTCAGAAACAAGGACAAAGGGAACACTAGAACTTAAACCCACATCTGAGTGACTCAAAACTATACAATCAGACCTTGAAGCCTTAGCGGAGTTCCACATAGTAATTGGAAAAAAGACCAGGAGTACCAAATTGGACTTTGTTGTAATTAAAGGGCACATGTGGAGCAATACATACTATCCGTACTTTTCTTTGACGTCATCACACTAGTCCCGCACCAACTTCAGTTGCCATTTTCTACCTCTTTGTTCACACGCACTGCCAATCAACCTACATCAAATCTTCACAGAAAGTTCATTATTTGCCGTTATATTTATGTTTTTATTATTTTTGTTATATCTGCTTGTTGCTGTTGTTGTGTTTATGGCCAAGTCTATGGATTATAGAGAGAGCCTGCCAGAAAGCGCCAAAAAGAGGTACAATGAGAAAATTGCTAAAGTGGACAAAGACCCTTATGCCATACCAAAGAAAGACTTTGACACGGACAAGAAGACATGGCCAGATATGAACATAACAGACATTTATCATTTTTTGATCTATCAGCACTCTGCCTATACCCGTGAGCAATTTAGAAGCCATAAATCATTGGAAGCCTACAAGCTTCAAGATGGTTGGGTAAAAGATGTCTTCCACAAAGATGCGAATGGGCTTCACATAATGAAAGCAAGGGTAAGTGCATTTTGAATAATAAAAAAAAACCTTAAAAGAATGATCAAGGAATTTTACCAGATACATGTATATTATCATGACTACTATGTCAAAGGGACATACAATTCTACATAGAAGACCATTTTTTTATACTTTCAAAATGGTGAACTGTACAGTAAGCATACCTGTAGCAGTAACCTTTTGGCCTAGAAAAGGTCCATGCTGGATAAAGCTTGATTTAGGTACATGGATGTTTTATGATTAAAGGTCTACGATTAGAGAAAAATAACCTCTTTGAAATTGTTGTCTACATGCTTGTTATGACAGTACTAATAGAGTTGCTGCAGGGGCTGTACATTAAAAGTTGTCCAGCATTTGTAACATGTTTGCTGTTTAGATCTAAATATTTGGTCATATGTTATGTTAAATATACTAATAAATTATGAATAAATTTTGTGGATTAAAAATATCAAAATGCTTGTTACATGTGGGCTTTCCATATTTATGGCTTTTCTTTTTTCTGTACTTTACATTATGATACAGACAGTATTAATGAAGGCATTACCACATTTGGACCATAGTCTATTTGTTTCATTGCAATTAATCTTAAAGGTAGCTCTCTAGTTAAAACTATTTATTCGGTGTATTAAAAATGTGCATTCATTGTATAAATTAAATTCTAGTAAAACACAACTAACTTTCATGTATAAGTGCAAAGTTTGCAATTAAAATGGAAACCTCATTTCACAGAAACTATTTCTATACCTCATCTTTGCCTCATTCTTCATATAATTATATTTATAATACATTAATATGTATTTCTCGTGCATTGTTGCAGGTTTACCATTCCATGGGTATTTGAGAAAAGCTTTTGGAGCCTTGGGTGATTGTCACCGCAGATGGGGAGATTGACTGTATATGCATGGCAGGCCTTGGGGGAAACCTGTAGTCATATTGCTGCCCTCCTCCTCGCCATAGAGACATGGACAAGGCTAAGGAAGGAGAACAGTTACTGATGTCCCTGCGTACTGGGCAAACCCTTCAGCAAGTCATGAACTGGAACGACCCTATAAAAGGATGCAAGAAATAGACCTGCAGTCAACTAAGAAACGGATGCACCCAGACACTCAATCTACTCCAGCCATAGACATCACAACAACCATCCCATCCCCAACCAGAAATGAAAGAGATTCCTTCTTCAGTACCCTTCATGCAACTAGCAGATGTGCCATTTTGTCATTAACTCCTGGCTTTCTAGCCAGTTAAGGCCCAAAGCACTGTTGGGTCAGTGGCCTGTTGACTTTTTCACTATAAAGAAGAACTGGCATCTTGATAGCTCTGATAACAGTGAAATTCTGAGACACACTAGTGACATTGACATCTCCTTCAGCAAAGAAGAAGCCACATAATATGGTGGCCCCTATTGGATATTTCGACTTTATTTCGACTTTTCAACTTTTTTCTGTGGACGGCTTTTTGCTGCGGAACTTTTACACATTTTGCACATGGAAAGCAAGCGACTTAAACAATGGAAAATCTTATTAGATATAATTTTAAAGCTGGATACACAGCAACTGAGATTGCTAAAACTATGTCTCTTGCCCATGGCACCTATGTAAGGTGAGTGAAACTTTCCATATGATATGGTAAGGAAAGGTTAGTATCCTCACTCATCAAACTTAATTATTTTGTAACTAATTATTTAAGGGGTCACGTCGATGTGCGGGAGTGTCGTTGCGGGGAGTATCTATTAATTTGTTTTTTATTTTGCAAAAAGGGGACAATCAAACTCACCATTTGGGCAACAATACAGACTTGGTAGACTAACAGAATCCAAAATTTACAATATCACTCACACTGACATAAACTCGCCTGCAATTGGTGTTGTGAAGGGCATATGCTATCCAGCATCATTTACAAATGCTGCTGTGGACTGGGGCAGAAGAAAAGAGGGGATAGCACGTAAACATAACATCAAGTGCAACAGTGGCCACCGCCAGAAATTCTCTGTAAGGGACAGTGGGCTAGTAATAAACCCAAATTATGTTTTGTTTGGGGCAAGTCCTGATGGGACTGTCAACTGTGACTGTTGTGGAACTGGACTCGTAGAAATAAAATGCCCATTCTCCTTGAAAGATTCAGCTGACATTAATGTACCTTGGCTTGATGGTGGAAAATTGAAGGTGTCAGGAGCGCACGGAGATCAAGAGACGCTTCCGATGATGTAATTATGTAAATAGAATCCATTAACTTTTGGGGCGCTAATTGGACATGAACCTGCAGCAGAAAATCCGCATAAGATCATCGGGATAAAAGAAAGTTGTATATAAGATTGTATTTGTTATGAATCTTGGTCAGTTGTTGAATAAAGCATCGTTACGTTGATTTATCCTTGTGGTTGACTTGGTTTCTGTGGCACACACTTACGTGAAGTTTTAGACCAACGAATCGTGAGAGTGAAAGGTTCCCAGCAGGCATAGTTGCGTTGGATCAACGTTCAAAACAGGTTGATACGTTGAATTGCCGTTGATCAACCTAATTTCAACATAAAATCAACGTTGATCCAGCCACGTCGAAACACCGTCATAATGTGACGTTGACTCAACATTGTATTTTGGTCAATGACACAACCTTGCAGTTATGGATTATAATTTAAAATATTAATTATCGAAAAACGTGATACTTTGTTTATCAATACTGTAACTAAATTTATCAAAAAAATAACAAAATGGTTTTAAGGTAAAAGTGACAGTTGTTTTGTGTCTTTAGTTAACTAGTGAATTTTCTTAACTTGTTATTCAGAAATACATTCCAATAAACTGAATTCCTTGCAAGGTCAGCTAACACTTGGATGAATAAGTTGCTGTAAACGTGACGGAGTTAACAGTTCTTGGTAACCTGTTATAGATAGACAGGTTGAGGTGACTGTGACTTTGTTATACATACATACATACATATATATATATATATATATATATGGTTGTAGTTATCTTCTTATATATATAAAAAAAGAACTATATATATTAATCTTAACCTTGGAAATTTTAACTGAAAGGCCATACATTACTACCCTACATATATTTAGCCATCAAACATGTCCTACTGCTAAACACATCCAGGCTAATTTCCCGCTGGGTGGGGTTGATATAACATTGTTTTCTGACGTTGATACAACGTTGTTATCCGAGGTTGACACAACTTTCAAATCCAACGTTTATTCAATGTCTTCTCAACGTTATGGTTCAACGTTGTTTCAACGTTAAAACAACATAATTTGCCCGCTGGGTTACTTGTGTAAGTGAGCGTAAGTGAACGATAGTGAGTGAAAGCTTCCTACGACTTAGTACATTCAGTACATATTTTGGCGGGCTTGTCCAGTCCTTCAAAAGTGTGCACAGAAAACTCAAAACTACAATGGCTCAAGGACAACTGGCTGGTGTTGCGGAGTTGGCCCAACTTGCAGAAGCTCTTCGAGTTATGACGCACGATATACAAGGGCAGCATAGACGGGAGATGATAAACTCCAGGGTGCAGGATGCGGTAAGTGGTGTTACTACATGCAAAGGGAATATCCCGTCAGAGGTTAGAGCCTATATAGACGAATTAGATGTGGTTAATGTAGGAATACATGACGTACCGGGGGGGGGGGGGGGGGGGGGTATCATCAAATTAGTCACCAGAACATCAAAAGGAGGTCTGAGACGGGAAATAGAAAGATTTCTAAATACGCAGGCAGATAGGAATGGGACGACGTGGGCAGCTATTAAATCCTACATACAGAGATCATTTTTGTCGGCTAATGAGGAAGAAAGGCTTAAATCAGAATTAGAAGTTTTAAGGCAGTCGCCGTTCGAAACTCTTACAACGTTTAATAGGTGATTCAGGGAGAGCGCTAATAGAGCGTTCAACATACTAAGACAGGGAGAAACTGAGTGTTTTGTCATCAGGGCATACGTTCGTGCTTTGTCAAATAGAAATATGGCAGAGGAACTTATGGTAAGAGGTCGGCCTGCCACGCTGGAGGAGGCCATTACGTGGACAGAGCAAGAAAATTCGGGGAGGGAAATTTTTAGACAAATCATAGGAGTAAGAGAAAATTTGAGGGAACAACAGACAAACGTTGTAACACAAAACGCAAGAATAGAGGAAGACATGGAAATAGGCACTACCAGGCCAGACAGACACAACAGAAGCATGACACAAACAAAACAAATGCAGCTTGACGCAATACTGGCAAAATTTACAAATACCGCACAACAATTAGAAAGTGCTCTCACGCAACAACACAAAACAAACGAACGATTACAAACACGGATGGCCAACGTAGAAACTAGGGTCTTCAACTCCCCCAACCCACAAAGACAGCATCAGAGTAATTTTTCACGGCAGGCGGCCAACTTCTCTCAAAAGCCACACACACGACGAAACACAGATTGGACAGAGGACGGCCGGCCTGTCTGTTTCAACTGCAATAAGGCAGGGCACGTTAGGTCAGAATGTAGACAACTGTTAGCACAACAACGGGGTCATTTAAACTAGATTCTGCAGGCAGTACAGCGTCCAGATATCATAGTGTTAGGTGTTCTTCTGTCAGTACAGGGAATAAAATGTAAAGCATTAGTAGACTCTGGAGCCTGTTGTAGCTGCCTGATGTGAAGTTTTAGACCAACAAATCTGGGATCGATCGTGAGAGTGAAAGGTTACTTGTGTAAGTGAGCG